TGGAGGTTTTTTTCCTCCCACCCTTGTAAGGAGGCCTTTTACCCAAGGCCTCAGATAAAGAAACCTGGGAATGAAGTTGGGGCTAGGAATTTGAATATGTGAACAAGCATCTGTGGCCAGGGGGACCTGAGACTTTGACTGCAACTTCCTTCACAGACTGCAGTGCACTGGCTGTGTACCAGGTCTGGTGTGGGAAAGCCAGCTTTCCCCCCAAGTCCTGCCAGGGAAAGACTTTGTAATTGCCTGTGGTCGGGTCTGAAAACTTGCTGACAGGATTTTAATCATGAACCAGACTCCTCAATTACCAGTATTCTTGAAACACTTTCTGTACTTCTTTGTTTACCCTGCTTCCCCTGAATTTTGCATTTCTTTATATAGGTATACATATGAATATTTAATCAATGTTATTTAATTGTGCTTGTTTTTGAACTTTTGCAGTGGTAACAATGTATGTATTCTGCATTTAGTTTGTCACTCAATACTGTGTTTCTCAAATTCATCCATTTCAGTAAGTGTGGCCAATTCATTTATTTTTACTGCTGCACTATAGTCAATTACGTGACTATACCACAATTTATCCGTTCACCTGTTGATGAACAATCAAGTTGTCCAGTTTTTGTTATTATAAACAGTGCTGCTATAAACATTCTTTTTTGTCTCCTGCAGCATAAGAGTTCCTCTAGAATAAATTCCAGTGGAAGCTTTCTGGGTCATAGGAAAAGCACATTTTTTACTCGATTACCTAAACCAAACTATTTTTCTAAATGGCTATACTGATCTCTCTCTCACCACCTTTGTTTACCACATTTTGTATTTTCAGTCTCAGATTTTGCTAGTCTGATATGTATAAAATGGTACATTGGGGTTTTAGTTTTCATTGTCGTGATTATTAACGGGGTTTGAATATAGCTTTATATGTGTATTGGCCATTGAGTTTTTTCATTGATGAAATGCCTGCTTACAAATGTTGTCTATTTTTCTATTGTATTTCTGTTGTTGATTTTTGAGAGTTTTAAAGTATTTTCTAGTGACTCCTTTTTCTGTTAATTATATATAAATGGCAGTTATCTTTTCCCAGTTGTTGTGGTTTGTCTTTTCACTTTATGAAATAGTTACTATCAACAGGCTCAGATGCCTTGTAAACAAATGACCCAAAAATCCAAAAGTTGGTGCAAGGATTGAAAGCTTTATTCAGATAACTGGCATCTGGGGGATGACCAGGCTAAAATCATCCCACCTTCTGATGACTATTCTGAAGTTTATAAAGGGGAAGAGGCGGGAAGGTGAGGGAAGAGTTTTGGTCCTGCAGGCAAAGGGGGAGCCTGGTCATGGGATCAGCAGAGGGTCTGAGTCAGATGTCAGGGACCCATGATGGACTGAGTGCTTTAGCCTCATGGAGTCTGCAGTTGGCCACTGGTCAGCTTCAAACCCTTGATGTTATCTCTGGGCCAGACTCCTTATCTCCTAGGGAGAGTTCAAAGACAATAACCTCAGTCAAGCACCACTGGAACATAAATATACCTTACTTATACCTCCAACTAACGTGAATGCAGTTTTCCTTTAAGCAAGAAAGTGTGTTAATAATCAGCTAGGGTGCTTTGCCTTTCTCTTGGAATTCTTTCATTTGCAGTTGATTAGGAAAGAAAGGGAAAACAAGAAAACTTACTTTCAATTCTTAATTTTAGGTGTGCAACATCTAAAGTAAATCAACATAACAGCATGTAATGGGAGATAAATAGAAATAAACTTTTGAGAAGGATCCTTTTGGGGCATGATTTCATCCCCAGAAAACAAGAAAACTTACTTTCAATTCTTAATTTTAGGTGTGCAACATCTAAAGTAAATCAACTTAACAGCATGTAATGGGAGATAAATAGAAATAAACTTTTGAGAAGGATCCTTTTGGGGCATGATTTCATCCCCAGGTAGTTTCAGCCTTAACGGTCAGTTTCTCAATTTCTCTGTTAACCTCAAGGAATTGATGACTGTCAGTTCCTCAGCTTGGAATGACTATGACTCACTTGAAAAAGGGGGAATTGTGAGTCCAGCAAGTCACTGGTTGTAATAGCATTGTTCCTAAGTTCATGGCTAACTGAAATTTTCTGCTTGGTCTTAGTTATTCCAAAGATGGCCATTCTCTGGTGAAGGTCTCTTTTCAATATTTAATGATACTTCATTA